TTATGCTTTTGATGTATTGCAGGGATTGCAGGGTGTTTTACGAAAATGTCATGTAATAACAATTTTTACATATTAGTATAACAGTCGAAAAATGTGCTCGAATCATACGATTAAACATCAAAACAACTTTATTTGAACCAGGTGCCAAAAAGCCCCGTTTATCAACTTTTAGGATTTGAAGAAAAGCTGAACGATAACATCGAATGATCAAAATGGTTCATCCAACAAGGAGCAACTTGTTGGACTATAGAGTCGACTTTTTATTAATATTACGGGAATTGAAATTAGTATGGATAAGAATTAATGTGGATAGATGAAAACATAAATTATACATGATAGAAGCAAAAAGAGCTCTGAAAAGCAATAAAATCACTAAATGACTTCTAATGCATTTTGGTTTAAATATAACCATATTTTATTTAATTTGCTTCAACGCTCGATTTTCATACTAGGGTGTAAATTGGTGAAATATACGCGGCACGCTGCTATGGGCGCGCGCCCATAGCAGCAGTGAGCAGCAGTGAGGAGCAGTTATCAGCAGTTTCTTTGCACTATAGTCCTCCTGTGTTGACTATTGAATTTACGGATAATATAATTAGTTTTTGAGGACTTCTCGCCGCTTTAACGCGCTGCACAAATTGTAAGTTTATTACCTACCAGGACGCGCGCCGAGTTAAACTCGAAACAAATATTTTACGAGTATTATGGGTTGCTCTATCCTATTTTTACTTGTGAAACAAGCGCGCCCGAAGTGACGCGAAAGCACCGGTGAACCTTTTTGCTTGCAGTAGCACTAGACCGCCGAAGGCACTTCATTCTAATTGTGAAACAAGCGCGTCACGCATTGCTCTATCTAGAACCCTTGCGCTTGCAGTAGCGTTTGTAGGTTTTATACAACCTACCAGGACGCGGGCCGAGTTGGACTCATCTACGGTCCTATGGAACAGATATTTTACGAGTATCACCCGTTAAAGTAGCGCGCGCCCGCAGTGGTGCGAAAGCACATGGTTAGGTGAAGCAATTGACACTATATACTGCTTTAAATACACTTTTATGAAACTCGTAGTCGAACTCCAGGATTGCCACCATTTGTTTTAACAAACTTTCAATGTTCGGGAATCCCGATTTCCGGGAAATCCCGGGAAATTCCCGATTTTTCGGGAATCTAGGAAATTTTTCCCGATTTTCGGAAATCCCGGAATTTATTTCGGTCGGGATTCCCAAATTCTGGGATTTAAAAATGAGATCGGGAATGACGCCAATCTCGGATTATTTAGCTCGTTTTTTTGGTAAAATGAGTCCGATCCATATATTGGACCGTAGACGAGTCCAACTCGGCGCGCGTCCTGGTAGGTTGTAAACCTACAAGACAAGAGCTGCTGTCGGACAAATGTCCTTTTAACTGCATATCACAGTATATGCAGTACTCGGCCTGGTCTGCTACCTTTGAAGTTTGAGCAACTCATTAAATGATTGTGTGGTATTGACGGGGATGCAGGCCACACTTTGTGTTTGTTGTTTTGATCTACAAATAAAGAAGAGTGTATAATGAAGTTTAATTAATTAAATTCTTTTGGATAAATAAAGGTAACGAATATCTGTCGAGATTTTTTTCTTTCTTATAGTTTATTCCATCTGATGTCTGATTGTACCAACATGTCTGTCGTATATTGTTTTTAGACGTTAGTGTTACCAATAAGCAGTTTAAAGGAAAATGAGAATTTTTTGTTGGAGAATTCTAAATTATTATAGTTTTCTCTTTGTTAGGAGAGCCGCTCTGACATTAGTAGCTTGTACCATTCTTGGTTACTAGTTGCTAATATGAGCGGGATATAAATACTTTGTTATTATATTATTATTATTATTATAGAGCAACTAATTATTTCATCAACAGTATGTACCATGTAAAATGCAAAAAATACCTTTTTGTATTTATGTATCCTGGCCTTCCTGTATATTATGTAAAATGCAAAAATATTTTTTTTGAAAAGCTAGCTGATGAGCTGTCTAATTTAAGAACTCTTGTCATGTCAATCATACAGTGCATAAAAAAGTAAAGAAAGAAAGTGAACAAGATTTTATCCAGCTCCACGGTCATCAACAGAATTATAAAGCAATAGTGTGCAGTATTCAATATTAAAACAGCAGACTTAGCCACAAACTATAATTTTTTACTCTCAATGGTTTTACTCAGATTTGTTCCATTTCACCTTTTTGTAAAAAGGCAATAGTGAAAGGTTACGAATGGACGTTTTTGCAGAAAAACGTGGATTTTGGAGAGCGGTAGGCGGGTCTGAATATGTCGTGTTCTGTCCTTCTGTTAGTAACCATGTCAATTCATATATTAAGATGCAATGAAACTACCAGACCACAATGTATGGGGACTTGCCACCCCATGGCAACATTAAAATATATCGATTCTGTTACATCGTTTCCTGTTAATATAAAACTCTGTTACAAAATGAACTGGGATCTGGCAATACTACACCTTAGTTCGATAAAATATGACAAAGTAATGTACAACTAGACTTAAGTAAAAGTCTGAATGAATATAGAAAACAAACTTATATACTGCTTGAAAGCTAAATAATAAACTGCGAAAGAGTAGTCAACGTGATATAAAACTGTTCCGATACGACCAAAGAGAGAAAGAAATAGATCCTGCGGAAGAGGTAACATGCATAGCCATAAGGAATTATAACGAATTACAGGGATTGGCCTTACACACAATATAATTATATAATGAAGTCATTAACTGTGAAATTGTGCCAGTGTTTGAGGATACACGCTGGCTGACTATTAATAAATAATTTAAGATATCTGTGTTAGATTTTTCGTTCATAATTATGGGTGATCAGTTTATCAATTAATAATTTAACATCATGAATAAATTCATTAACTACTGAGGAGGATCTGCATATCCTATTCTTTCTTTCTTTCTTTCTTTCTTTCTTTCTTTCTTTCTTTCTTTCTCGAAACATGTATCCTATTGTATTTCATTATTGTATTAAAATGTAAAGATATACTATAACTAGATATTACAACGAAATAGCGGTATACCAAATTGGCCCTTGATATTAACTATAACCGTGTTGATGGTTTTAAATTTTGTATGTTGTAAGTATTATATTTTAGTTTGTGAAGCGTTTACTCCTCCCCTCAGCAAGACAGTTAGATTGTAGATTAATGATAATAATTGTCAAATGACGTTATATATAATTATATAACAGTTATAAATGTTCAATAGTTGTAGAGCGATTTCAAGAGTAGTGGTCCACAGGGGCCCGAAAAAGCCGTACAGGCACTTGGGTCCTTATCCTTGTCACTAATCTCAATTGGATTCGGTTTACACAAAACATGAACATTTAGACACATTGACACGATATTTATTAGAAAGCAAAAAGTATAAAATAATACGTGCGTGCGCGGCTTGAGCCGCGCCGCATAAGAACGGATGCGTGCAGGGGCTGGAGTACGCTTGTATGTAGATTAATGAAATGTTGCATTGTAAATATTGAGAATTGACGATATATTATGATCTAATAGTAAATTTCACAAAGCTGGCTTTGGATTTAGGTAAGATTATAATTCATTCAAAAAAACCACGGATAGTTTAAATTTATTTCTATTTGTCGTACAATCATAAACAATTTAATCCTGTTTTCAAGAATGCGCGGCTTTGGCGGCCAGTTATTGACTTATACATTAAATTGGATTTTAAATAGAAATGTGAATATATTAAAATTTGAAACTTTCAAAACGGAGGCTTATAAATATTATTATATTATGATTGTAAAATAAAGGATAAAATTTTAAATTTGTTTCACTAAATTTGTTTCACTATATAGTTCGCCTACAAATATTCCATATGAAGGTTTCACAGGTACGTTGGAGCTAAGGTTAGGAAAAGTGACGACTTTAAAACTGAAATCACGTCGTTTGTCATATAATTTAGTGTATGTAATTTATACTTTTTGAGTGTGTCTAACCTTATATTTAGACAATAACTATAGTTGGATTTATTTATGAATATCATTGATAAACACATGATTTTATCACTTACACCTGATTTTGATTTGGGACCTTTCTTAAGCTTAAATCCTTTAGAAGAAAGGTCAGGTCTTTTTGGGGGGGGGGGGGGAGCGCCCCCTCTGATGCCCCTATACTCACGCCGCCCCCTACTATTAGAATGATCCGATCCCATTTCTCACCTCAAGTTATCTTATACTTACGCAAAACATAGTTTGTTGGCGTTCCTTTTGAATTTTAGCTGCATGTCTCTTGAGTTCATATAACATATAAATTTTCTATCAAATTATAGAAAATATGGCTGAGACCCAAAACTTATGACCCGAAATTATATATTTATCGAATGAATCTAATTTAGATAATGAAAAGGAAGCCTAAGCTACATATTCTCTGTGACTTTTAGTACAAATGTTTGATAAAATGTGGATACTAAAGCCTAAAAACCACCAGAAATGTTAAAAATCACTAATTATATTACAGTTGCAGTCAGTGGCATAACTTTACCTGTTGGCGCCCCCCGCACAGTGGGGTCAGTGGGGCCCTTCACTACACCACTGGTTGCAGTTGTTGTCTTTTGCAAGGGTGAATTTACTTGATTTGATATTTATTTTCAGAATCAATATAAAATCGTATGTTGACTATATAAACTAATGATTACATTTTAGATTGATGCCCAAATTTACAAACTAGTTCTAGCCAAAAAAATCCACAACAAATGTTGTTCCTAGGATGTTGCAGCAAAGTATTCTAAATTTACAGAGCTGTGTCAAATGTTTGACATCTGGACTGGTTGTAAAAAATTGTAAACGTTTTACAAAGAAAACGAACATAAAATATAGCTGATTACTCCTTCATTAACTCATCTACAGATGTTTGAGAATGTACTATTAATGTATTGTGAACACCCTGTATATTATGTATAGTGTATATAATATTATACAAATATCAATAAATCAATTATCAGTATCATTGCAGGCATGATTAATGGCTACTGGATTTAGCTTCACACTTTGGACCTTCACAAATAGATGACAAAAAATGCAGACACAAAGTTCGGATCTCTATCATGGGTTGAATTAGTTCCTGACTCTGAAGATAGCCCTTCCTCTCGCTCTGGGCATTCTCTTATATTCTTTGAAGGATCTCTATACCTTTTTGGAGGAAAAGATGAATATTCAGCAAGTAATGAACTTTGGCAGTACCACACTGAAGCAGCCGTCTGGACTAAACTCTCATATTCTGGAAAAGCTCCCCCTAGACTATTCAATCATAGTGCTATACTATACGATAAAAAAGTTTTCATATTTGGTGGGTCATTAGGGTCCAGTTTTTCATTGTGGGTTTTTGACTTTTCGGTGTACGAATGGGAGAAATATCAGACTGGAGATAACTGGCCTCTCAACCGTCACTCCCAGTCAGTGTCTATTCTCAATAACACTGTGTACATGTACGGAGGTTACACTTACCTTGGTTGTGAAAGTAACGAGCTGTGGACGTATGATCTGGGTAGGTAATGTTGCAGAATACAATACATATTGTTAACTGGTATACATGAATTCTATATAGTAACATCTTCAATCTACATGTATATTATACATGTAGATGTTTGAATTCACAATCATATCAGCAATCTGTGTATAATATGCTTCACAATTGTTTGGAAGGGTTGTTTGGTGTTTAAAAGAATTTTCCTTACCCCAGATGATAACGAATGGTGTAAAGTGGAGACCGCTGAAACCAACACTCCACCAGCAATGTTCGGTCACACGGCCGTGTTCAGTGGACCTGTGATGTGGCTATTTGGAGGTAGTGCTCAAAGGGAAATTATCAACTCTCTCTGGTCTTATGATACTGGTCAGTTTATTATGAGGTGTCGGGTCAGAGAGTTACCAAGTTAGTAGGATACTAAGTTACTAAGTTACTAAGTAACTAGGTTAATAAGTTACCAAGTTACTAAGTTACTAGGTTACTAAGTTACTAGGTTAATAAGTTACCAAGTTACTAAGTTATTAGGTTACTAAGTTACTAAGTTACTAAGTTACTAGGTAACTAAGTTATTAAGTTACTAAGTTACAACTAATATTCAGTTTGAAATTAGATTTGTAATGTCATGGTGCTCTAAAATAATGCATAAATTTGTGTAAATTTGGCCACCTCAAATGATGTTTCCAATTATATCTAATATGTTATTATGACAATGATAAAATTTCCAGTAGAATTCAATGTTATCATTATTATCATAATATGTATGCCTGGAAGTGGATTTGTTAAGCTTACGTTTTGGCAAATTGGCAATGTTTTGTAAGATACAAATCGATATAATAATTATGTCAAGGATCTTAATTAAATATGGTGTTGTAAATCTAACTTATTACTTTATTTAGAGACACAACAGTGGACTGGGGTGTTGTAAATCTAACTTATTACTTTATTTAGAGACACAACAGTGGACTGGGGTGTTGTAAATCTAACTTATTACTTTATTTAGAGACACAACAGTGGACTGGGGTGTTGTAAATCTAACTTATTACTTTATTTAGAGACACAACAGTGGACTGGGGTGTTGTAAATCTAACTTATTACTTTATTTAGAGACACAAAAGTGGACTGGGGTGTTGTAAATCTAACTTATTACTTTATTTAGAGACACAACAGTGGACTGGGGTGTTGTAAATCTAACTTATTACTTTATTTAGAGACACAAAAGTGGACTGGGGTGTTGTAAATCTAACTTATTACTTTATTTAGAGACACAACAGTGGACTGGGGTGTTGTAAATCTAACTTATTACTTTATTTAGAAACACAACAGTGGACTCACCATGTCAAAGTGTTTTCTCCACCGCCTCTTTACTATCACATTGCAATTGTCGTGAGTGAAATTTTTGATTCTTACCACTTACAGTATCATGGAAAATATTGTGATCTAGCTGGATTATCTCTAACTTTAACTGTGGTTTTTTAAGGGGGCCGGGGGGAGGGGGGGGGGTCTTCATCAAAATTCTCTCGAAATCGACTTTATAGTTGTTTCTGATAGAGGGGAGTGATATCTATCAGCTGCTTTTGGTCCCATAGAAAAATATTGTTCCTAGCCAAAATTATCGCCGGTCAAAGGTCAGCGCTTATTTGTAATTGTATTGCGCAAGCGATTTTCAATCGCGCGTTCTGAAAATCGAGTCTAAAAATCTACCTTCTCCTACATTTTTTGAGCAATCACCCTTTAACTTTCAGGATATGTTCTTAGGATCAGTTAAAAGAGAACTTTAGAGCCAGAATTTTGAGATAGGCCTTTAAAGATTTTTAATTTGATTTTGAAAATTTTGGACCTTGATTTTTAGAGGTCCAAGATTTTCAAAATCGGATTAAAAATCTTTAAAGGCCTATCTCAAAATTCTGGCTCTAGAGTTCTCTTCTAAATGATCCTAAAAACATATCCTGAAAGTTTGAGGGTGATTGCTCAAAAAATGTAGGAGAAGGTAGATTTTTAGACTCGATTTTCAGAACGCGCGATTGAAAATCGCTTGCGCAATACAATTACAAATAAGCGCTGACCTTTGACCGGCGATAATTTTGGCTAGGAACAATATTTTTCTATGGGACCAAAAGCAGCTGATAGATATCACTCCCCTCTATCAGAAACAACTATAAAGTCGATTTCGAGAGAATTTTGATGAAGACCCCCCCGGCCCCCTTAAAAGTGAGGCAGTATTTGAATATAGCTATTATAAAATTATGATCATTGATGTGCCTGATATAGTTAATAGTACTTATTTAATGTGAATTCTCTTTCAGACTGGTGATGTGATGCTAATATACGGTGGTTTTGATGAAGGAGTAAAAGCTTACACGGGCATGTGGCGATTTAACTTCGGTACGTGCTCTCCTCCGTTATCTATTGAACTTAGAATACATTTTCCCCAGATTATTGCCAGTACATGAGAACGCTTGTACTTCTTGAATATAGAAGCTAATACAAATCCCCCAGAAACAGAAGTATGGACCCAGATGGTGTCTACTGAGTTACCTGCTCTGGCTGGTCACGCTGTGGCTGTCTCTTACGTTAAATCAACACGCAATGGTTTGTTACATATTATTTTTATAGAAAAGTAGAAACATTGAACGTGACAGCACTAAATTTAGTTTCTTGAGATTAAAAAGGAGTTTCTCTTCTAGTGCTGAAATGTTTTGACTGTTTTATCTTCACGATTCGATTGAGAAGCACTACCCGGAAGCAGTACTCGCCACTAACACCTTAAAATGTTTAAATTTGATTACAAAATTTAATTATAATTATGTAATTATAATTATAATTCTAACAATCAATTTAGAAAACACTGTATTCCTGCCATACTGATACATCTACAATATAGATAGGCAATTTAGATCAATCTGGTACACAACTTTACTGTTCAATCTTAATACGCCAATAGACCTTATTGAATAGTCTATAATCAGTTCTTAAAAAAGTGAACGTATCCATAATATATAATTTTACAGGACCCTTTTATATCTTAATCAGGCTAAATGAGGTTAAAGTTAAAGTCAAGTATTTTTATTATTTTACGTATAGTAGTAATGTGTGTGTTAGTATGTGACTGTTATTCTAGAAAAGTGATATCAGAGACAATAAGAATGAGCGATGTGCATAACGTTACCACTTGACATGCATCAGATTGTAATTTTAAAAGAAATAATTATCTTTGCTGAACATGACGTATTCTTGCAATTATTAATACATCAAACTTGTTGCCACGTTCAACCTTAAGACTAAAATAGTTGAATACACTTCCTTTCTTGATCGTATTAAGATAATATAATTTGAGTGCACATATTATGCTATGAAAAGGTAGTTAAAGGGATCATGAAGTGTCCCCGACTTAATCGTCAAAACATTTCACATATACTATCACATAGAAACACTAATATAACAATAGGGCTCGGAATTCCCAGATTCGTAACTTAATTATGTCGCGTGAAATCGATACAGGAAGATCGCCCTAAATTGTTGGATAGTGGCTAACTGTCAGACACCGCAATAGAAACAGTGTTAAAATGCACATTTTTATTCATGTGCTGTGGCGCCAATTTAATTGATAAAATCTTCAAATTAACGACACTTGATAGATTTGACTTTTATCTTTCGAAAATTGTGGTTGTATAATGTGCATAATATACACAAGCATCAAATAATTGTCTTATAAGTTTACGTACTGCTGTGTAAAGTTGTAGGAAGAAAAACATTCAATTACCAAACGCTAAATAACAATACACGTTAGAAAGAACCTATTACTTAAAATAACCTTAAATTATAGATAGTTTTTTCTTGATACAAACATTTACTTGTTAAGTTCATGGCAAAATATGTCCATCATCAGTTCCGATACTGATAAAACCCGTATACCTTGATCCATCTGTGTTTGGAAACTTTTCCCGGATCGCCGACACAACACATGATGGAAGTACGTATCGAACCTTTCTATCCAATTGCAAAGCTTGAGCTACTATACTATGAAAACACGTGCCGCAGTCGACATCAAACGCGAAAATTTGTAACAGCTCTGACTTAGTTATTAATTCTTTAATTGGAAGATAAGACTTTTATCTACGGGGTACAGACTACGGATACATATGTTAGGTTCGTGTTTACACATTACACGTTATTCAAGAAAGCACACATTTGCAAGCTTTAAAATACAAAGACCGTACAGAACGAAAGTAAACAAATTGAACACTGATCGTGCTACATTCAAAGTCCATAAAGTGAGCTGTCTTTAATTGCTTGTAGGAACTAGATTTATCGCTGTACACCAAATTTAGGAAGATATGTGAAATATAATGGTTTATACCTGATGGTAATCTTGTCCGTTCAACAAAAAAACCAACAGAAAACTTGTTATGGACAATTAAAATCAGGCGTTTTTACACATGTCGTATATGCTCTCCCGTCACCTAGCCACTACTTGGAAAAATGTAATTGATATACCCCATATTATCTCAGCTTGTGAAGCAATTACGACGGAGCTATTTTGGGATTGTGGCAGAATTACTAAGCCTAGCTCACTACCCAAGTTTCGAGAATTTTTGAAGAATTCGCAAATTTACACTTCATGATCTCTTTAAGTAGTTGGGGGGGGGGGGGGGGGGGGGGGCTGTTTAGGAGTCACATAGTTTATAAGTTCTAACAAGGTGTACGTTTTACTTCTCCTCTGTAGTTGCGATCTTGACGATTGAAACGACCTCTTTAATTAAACAAAATATTTCGAATATACGACATCTTCATCTTACTATCTATAAAGCGAGACGATATAATATATGGATATGTTTATTGTTTATCCGTACCATTTTAGTGAAACCAGGGCATCAACTTTAACGCGACTTTCCGCAAAAACCGTAAAAGATATACAACTGAAACATTTTTACTGGGTCAAATGCTTTAATGGCCTCTAAATCAGCATGAAAAAATAACAAATTGGCCAAGGACTCAAGGAATAGGAGTTTTAGAGCCCAAAATTTTGACCCCCAAGTGGTGTCAAAAACGCGAATTAAATAGGTAATAATTATTTTAGTCTCTTGAGTCTTGGCACCACTTAAATCACTTTAAGGGTTATACGGGTTCCTGCTAGTTAAGTAGTTAGTCTAAACTATTAGTATATTATGGAAAGAAAGGATAGAAGGAGAAAAAGGTTTCCAGCGTTGATAATTGGTTTGAATTTTAAGGTTTATTATTTGCACATACTTCCCGAATCTGGTAAGGACTTGTTAATCACATGAATCTCAATAATTTGGTTGGAAATCATACGTGAATCCAAAAAGCTGGCACAATTCAGATCAAGCTCACACAATTTCAATATTGAGACTGGACGTCATGGAATCCACAAAAGAAATCAGACCATATACCTCAGATATGTAAAGCTTGCTCAACAGAGGACAGGGACGTGGACGTGCTCGAAAATTTCGCTGAAATGCCATTCTCCGACCCGCCACCCGGACCCCATCATCGAAGATGAGGTACACATCCTCCGGACCTGCTTTCTGTATGAAGATCACCGACATCGCTTTAGTCAGAGAGCCAAAACAGGTCTTTTCGCTAACTTAGAGCTTTAGAGGGGCTATTCACAGATGCAGCGAGGTTCCTGGTGAGAGCAAATAACAGGCGTTTACCGAAGAAGGAAGTCACTAAGAAGGATCCGCTGAAGGCCAGCTGTAAAGTCTCCGCTACACCTCAACAGAACTCCTCTGTGGAAACGTGACGGCCAAGTTAAGCTTCATTTCATTAAGACACTGAACTAGACTGTTGATATTCGGTTACCTATTCATATTATCATATCATAGCATTATGGAACATGCTCATGGGAATTCGGATAATTGGCAGTTAAATTATTATTTTCGCACTTGTTTCTCTTTCGATAAAGATGTGACGAAGTTAAATTTTAATGATTTTTCAATTTTTATTTTAAGAACATTCTTGCAACTTTATTTGTTTATTTCTCTATTGATGTATAGACATAGTAAAGACTTGAGTGTTAGGGCTCTCATTGACAAAATCTATGTTTAATCCTGTTTTAATCCTGTTAATCCTGTTTATGATAGAGATTCCTTAATGAATGTATTAAAAAATTGCGAAACTCATTGTCAATATATTATGAGAGATTTACAGTACAATTTACAGTTAAAATCCTCCTTTCATATTTCATTTTTCTTGTGCAGCCATATTCATCAAGTCAAATATTTTGATTTTACAAGATTTTTTTTTTTTTTTTTTTTTTTTTTTTTTTTTGTTTTAAATCATCTCAAATGTTATATTCGTTGTAATCTCTCCATTGATGAATGTGCGATATTTGTGTGAGTTTTCTTTTTTTCTTTGATCGGCTTGTGGATATTTTTAATGAGATAAAGAGTGACTATCAAAGAAATCCTATTAGTTTTTCTCCTTTTGACCCGGCCCATTTAGTTAAATATTTATTATAAAAACAATTAAGAGTCGTATCTTTGATTAATGTTTACTTACTTAAGATATTCAGCATAATTCAATAATTCAATAAATGTTTCAATTTTTTTAAAATAAGATAGCTTTTTAAATGATCAACACTTTAATTAGATTCATAAATTTCCGCCGTTATTTCAGAACGTTCTGAAAAAAAAACCTCATCATCCGATGAGTTTTTTTTCCTCCTTGTGGTTTCCCTTTTTTTCTTCTTTTACATTTGGTTTATAATTGTTAAATGCCTTTTTTAAAAGTTTGTATCTTTAAAACATAAATAGTGTACGCAATATCAGCTCAAAAATATAACGATACTAGTGTTATAATACCTTATTCAAAATCAGCATTTCGATTCAATTGGTTTTCTAAAAGTTATAAAGAAATTGGGGAATTTTTTGATAATTTGAATAAGTTATTACCTTAACACTTATATTTAAAATCGGGATAATAATATTAATCCACTTCATTTTAAGTAAATGTTTGTAAGATAAGTAATCGAATCGAGATATATAATATCTATCAGCGTCAAATATACTTTATAGCATGAAACTAATCCTAATTCATTCAAACCTTTTGTCTTATATTATCATGAATTGATCATAAAAATAAAATACCTTTCTAAATCTCTATTTTCTATATTTTACAGTCTGGTCTTAATTTTATACGGTTAGAAGCACGCCAAACCGAATTAAAAGTTTTGGATGGGCCTTAAAAGCAATCACTCTCCATTAAAGTTACTTATGATAATCATCAATTATTATGTTTTATCATTGGAAGATGGGAAAGGACCTAGAATGAACTTGCTATCTGTTTTAGAAGTGATTTTAATAGTAGAAAATTTGCAAATGAGGAACACTTGCATGATCATTGACGAAATTGGAGATGTAGCTGCATGCAATAGATGTTGGGAAAAATCTGTTTCAAGGGTACAGTTTACACTTTCCGCATTATGGTATTTTTAAGAATCATTTGTCGGTAAGATCCTCGTTTTATAATAATAATATCATCAAATTTAAAATACGTAGTTCCTGTTTATTGTATCTCATAAATAATTTTGTCTGCATCTTCTTGCAACTCCCATTCTGCTTATCAGCATA